TAATTCTATCTAAGACACGACCACTCATTAATCAAAGCATCTGCCCAACATTTCTTAGACCCGGGATCCATACATGTACATTTAAACCTGCATGGAAATGCACCAGCATCGATAAGAAACATTCTTGTCACGAAGACAAATGTGATATGCACCACCAATTGCAAAAAAAAAAAAAAGCATCTAAAAATAATGGAAGCACTTATCGTAAAAGAGAAAAAAAGTGTGCTATTAGGAGCTATCAACACGGCCACAAAGTACGGGCCGTGTTTGGGATTTAAGAATATGTCTATCTTTCAGCGACTTCTAGACAGTTTACAATAGCATTTATACATCATTTACACTTCAAATCATTTAAAATTGTCCATAGATTAGTCGAAAGCAATCAGAACGAAGAATAATTGGGACAATTTCTACAGACACTAAAAAAAATCTCTTGTTTGAATATAAAAAAGACGATAAAAAAAATAACCGAAATACCTCGATTATCTGCTTTTGATGTTAGGTTCTTTCTTCGTTATCAGCCCCGAGTTTCGGTCCTTATTTTAAAATTCTAGAGCCGCTTAAGGTGAAAGGCTAGAGTCAACAAAATGGTGGTGCTGAATAGGAATGAAGTGTGTGACATGAATAAAAGTGGAAGTGGTAGGAAGTAAAGATTATGAGGATAAGGAAAACAGATAACGACTGACCCTTGACTTGAAGTGTATAAAACTATAGTGTTCTGAGAGGCATCCACGACAAAATGGCAGCTATTGGGTGAAAGGGGAATTATGGGGGATTCCACTCCACGGAACGTTAGTGTTGAAATAGTAACGATGAGGTGTAATATGAGGGAAAAGAAATGGTAAGAAGTGATGATGATGAGGATAAGGAGCATATATAACTATTGTCCCTTGGTTAGAAGAAGTCAAGATTCAGAAAAGCATCCACGCGGGAGTCAGTTAATTTTAAGAAACACTGTTTGGTGGAACTTTCTTCTTACATTGAAACACGGAAAAATAAGGATGACTCGACTCCGTGGAAGTGGTTTGTCGTAGTAGTAAAGGTCTGTTCTATTGGAACTAAAGCGTGGAACTCTTCAGGGAATTTGTCATGACAATAACGATTGAATAATGGTAGGCTTGCAACATTATGTCAAGGAAAAGAATTTGCAGTGTGGAATTCTTACTATCGAATATTGATTGGTTTGTTTGTTTTACGGTATATCAACCTCAATGGGTTATTCAATGCCAACAAGATTTTTATTCCTGGTAATATTTTTTTTTCAAAAACGTATTGCTGCTAATATTTTTTTTCAAAAACGTATTGCTGCTAATATTTTATTTTTCCAAAATGTATTGCTGGTAATATTTTTTTCTTCAAAAATGTATTGCTGGTAATAAATTTATTGTTGGTAATAATTTTTACAAAAATTTATTGCCGGTATTAAAACCTTTTATAGTTGTTTGTCCCTAGTTTAGCTGGAATCCTAACAGGTGCTACCACCTCGGTTCAGAATGGACCTGGAAACACCAGCAACTACGAGGTGGTTCCACGCTTTTCAAAACCACTTTGATCAGAGGCCTTGCTGCTGGACGTAGTTTATCGTCTTACCCAGGACGCGGATGTAGCTTATCGTCTTATTCAGGACGGGAACTTGTCAACAATTGTATCTGTGCATTTGAACAATTTTCTAACTCCAAGGAAACTTATACAAGCTAAATGTTTACAGGCTGACTTTGAAGGAGTGATTCTAGAGCTGTGAAATCTTGCTTGGATTAATTGGAACTCTTCTTATTAATAACTGCATTTTCCCCAGGTAAACTAATATCTGTTAAAAAAGACCCTTCATCAAAAATGTCATCAAGAGATATAACTGTCATTATCACTGTCATACTGGTCCCCAGTCAAGTGTTTTTTTCATGTTGGGGAACAGGAGAATAAGGAGGTTGATCGACCAGTTCAAACCCACAGTTATACACAGCAGCCATTGAAAACAAAGACGTGTACTAGAGCATTGTCCAAAGCGATAAATCCAACGCTCATCATAGGTTAGGAAAACTCCAAGGGAACCAGCTGGATCTGCCTCAAACAATGTCAGATTTTCCTGTGATGTGATCAGCCTAGTGCGCTCTTGATCAGATGTCAGAAGACGTGGCACCCACCGAGCAAATATTTTAGTCATGTCAAGTTCATTGTGCAGAATATTCTCAACGTTCTTATGGGATATACTAACAGCATTGGCTATTTGATTTGAGCCATTAAATGAATTTTGATTTGAAATAAGCTCGAAAATTTATCAAATTTCTGACACGATTTGTAAAACCGACGACACGTATAATAAAGAGATTACAATGTTTAACCTTAAAACGGTTTGTCAAAATAACAGTTATTCCCTTGACACCGCTATTACACCGTTTTGGCTAAACCAATTGCAATGTTTATTTACAAGATTATAAAGTATATGTGAACCATGTTCAATGTTTATTATATATATATTTATTATTTAACTTTTATAAACAAAGATATAAGAAAATAATTATTTTATTAAAAATTTATAAAAAAAATTGTAAAATTATCAAAATATGTAAACCAATGACAATGAAATATTTGCAGTAAAAATTGCAGACATTCTGTAATTATACACAAAGAAAACATTCTCCCTCCACTGAATAGGGAGATACACATTCAAAATATTGAGAGTTTGTAGTATCGACTAAAATCAAAAATTAATAAGAATACTGATTCAGAGGAAGAGATACTCTCACCTGATTTTAGTGGGTTTGCGGGCCGAGAGTAAATAAATGAAAAGCCCGGAAAATGCATTTTTAAAAGTTATAATTACAGTGACTCTTCGTTATGCTTTTATTTCAATTTTCTTGTTCACACATTTTTATGAATTTATGAATGAAAAATTTCTTTTCATATTTATTAGAAAATGGTAAATAATAAATATTTTCATTATAGTTGGTTCACGTAATTTTATAACAGTTATTCTTGTAAAAGTTATTCTTTATCTAATAAATAACATCTTTGTGGTCATTTCTCGAGAATACAGAAAATGTATAAATCCACTTTCATGGGTTTAGCTTTTATCAAAACTCTAATCATCGTTTTTGAAAACAATAAATATTGCTGAGGAAGTAAAAAAAAAATGATTTAATAGCGGCGTCAAAGGAATAAACGCTCTTTTGACTCACCCTTTTTTTTTCGGCACGAAAGTTAAACATTGCTCCCGAACTAATTATCCGCTAGATTAATTTCCAAATATACTAATTATTCAATTTCTTATTTTGGCACAGAGTGTTGATAGCAGACTCAGAAAGAAAGCTATAACCGCCCCCTACAGAAGGTAGTGAAGGAAAGCGAGAAGAAAGGACTAAACATCACCGCAAGATGACAGATTGCATGGCTGTTAGCAAAAGGATGAACCCAATGTGCGAATTTCAAATCGCAGATACCAAAACCAAACAAATATGGAAATTTAAATATCTGAGAAGTTTTTTAACAGAGGACGGAAATTGTGACACTGAAATCCGAAGGCGTATTGGGATAGCCAAAGAAATATTCCAAAAGCTAATCATATTAGTAACAAATGGGAAAATTTAGCTAGAAACAAGGAAAAGAGTACTAAACTGCCATATAATATCTGTCCTCCTATTTGGCAGTTAGTGCTGGACAATCTCCTCAAACATGAAGCGGAGACTTGAAGCAACGGAAAGGATGTTGGGGATACCGTGGACCGAAAACGTGAGTCATGACGAAGTTTTGAAAAAAAAAAATGGAAACAAAAACGAAACTAATACTTAACATCAAGAAAAGACAGTTCAGGTTTCTGGAGTACATAATGAGGAAGGAAGGCTCTGGTACTCAGAGGACATATAGAGTGCCGCAGGGACAGAGGAAAACAATGCATAACACTCTTATTGAGCTTGACTAAATGGATGGCGGAAGAGGGCTTAGGATAAAAAAAAAACCTAGAAAAACAAAATTTATTAAGTGCTACAAGAGACAGGAAGTTGTGGTGACCTTTGATCGCCAATGACCTGAGATGACGCATAAAGAAGAAGAATTTGGTGCAGTTCAATGTTTCCTGACAACACCGATTCAGACAAACATACGTAATAATCATAACAAAGTATAAAACGCTTGCTGTAGCGTGTTGGTTAAAGAGCTACTCTCGTCGATTATTCGCTAGTGTAATGAGTTCAATTCTTTTGTCAGACTAAGATAAGCCAATAAGTCAATAAGCGATAAATTTACTACTGGTTCATTCCGTTTCAAAGCAACCAACAGTCACAGGTGACCCCCTCAGAAAAATCTGGGAAAATTCACAGATATTTCTTGACCAAATTTCTTGATAAATCCCAAATATTAGATCTGTATTTATAATAGTTTTAAAATCACAGCATCTTGAAATTATCGTTGCATTTTTGCGTTTTCCTAAAGAAATGAGTACTTTCAAAGAATATATGACATTCATAACTCTAAGGATATTGCATTTACAGATTGTAAACTTGATGTCCATAGTTAATGTTCATTGTCAATTACAAAAATATAAAGAGCTTAGGTGTGGCTTATGTACTTTTATTTTTATGATGACCTGAAAAAGGATGAAATGCCAAAAATGCAAAAAGACACTGTCAACGTCGAGAGCTTCGCATACAATATTCAAACTAGTTTTACTGTCATTTGTGACCAAATTATTTCTATACAAGAATCATAGCCAGTTATATTTTTTGAATAACGTATTGTTGAGAAAGCTTGAAGAGTTTTATTTCCTACGAAATTACCACAAACTTTTCTAAAATAAAACTAGTTTAAGGGTTGACAAAACGATTACATGGAAATTAAGTCCGTCATATACTCTTTATATGCATATTAATAGGGGTGATATCAATAGGGGTGATATTAATAGGGGTGATATTAATAGGAGTGATATAAGTGTACTGGCTGAATTTAGTTTTATTTTTAAGGGGAAAAATCCAGGAAAAGGCATTCATGGAATGTCAGTTTACATGTTTTTATCCCGATCGAGTTACGTTTACATTAAGTTTAAAGAAGAAGAAGAAGAAGAAGAAGAAGAAGAAGAAGAAGAAGAAGAAGAAGATGTGGAGGAGGACGACAACGTTGTGTAGTAAAATAATTCTAGAAAGGAGGATGTAGAAAAGAGCGTAGTAGGTAGAGACAAAGAAAAAAGAAGAAAAAATTGAGGAGGAGGATTTAAAGAAGTAAAAAATGATAGAAAGAGATGGAAAAAAGTAGGGTAAGAGGAGGGGAAGTGAGAGGAAGAGGAGGGAGTGACTAAGTGACTAAAAAGAAAAGAAGAAGAAGAAGAAGAAGAAGAAGAAGAAGAAGGACGATGCGAATAAGGAGTAGGATGTTGAGAAAAAGAAGAAATATGGAAGAGGAGGAGAAGGAGGAAAAGAAAACTAGAGAAGAGAGAAAAATGAGTTGACTAAAAGAATGCTGAGCAGATGAAAAGGGATAGAATGAAAAGGGAAAAAGAAATATGATGATGATTACAGACGAAGGAGGAGGCGAAAAAGCAGAGGAATTGTTTTGATTGGTGGAAGAAGAGCATAAAGAAAAGTAAAGGTAGGAGGAAGAAGAGGGCGAAGGGGAGCAGGAGGAGGTAGAGACAAAAATAAAAGAACTATTATGCTTGGTAGAAGGAGAACATAAAGAAAATAAAAGAGGAGGAGAAAGAAGAGGAGAAAGAAGAGGAGACGAAAACAGGTTTATTGGTGGAAGAAGCGCATGAAGAAAAGAAAAAGGCGCAGGAATGGGTGGAGAAGGGTGATGTTGATGATGATGATGATGAGGAGGAGGAGGAGGAGGAACAGGAGGAGAGGAAAAACAAAAGAAAAATTTCGATTGGAAGAAAAAGAGCACGAAGGAAAGAAAAAAGGAGGAGGAAAAAGAGGGAGGAGGAGACGAAAAACAAAACAGTTTTGATTGGCGGAAGAAGAGCATGAAAGAGGAGGGAGGAAGAGGGGGAGACGAAAAACAAAAGAACAGTTTTGATTGGTGGAAGAAGAGCATGAAGGAAAGAAAAAAGAGGAGGAAGATGAGGGAGGAGGAGGGGGAGACGAAAAACAAAAGAACAGTTTTGATTGGTGGAAGAAGAGCATGAAGGAAAGAAAAAGGAGGAGGAAGATGAGAGAGGAGGAGGGGGAGACGAAAAACAAAAAGAGCAATTTTGATTGGCAGAAGGGCATGAAGAAAAGGAGAAGGAAGATGAGGAAGAAGTGTAAATGGTGAAGAACCTTTTACTGACTGAAATTCTTTTTTTCCAATTATGTTTTAAATATATTCTTTCTGTTTTGTTTTGTTGTTTTTTGTTTTTACTGCAATCAGAACAAAATAAATTGTCATTTTTTTTCTTTTTTATTTATTTATTTTTTTTATTTATTTTGTAGACGTTTAGTTTTGGAATGTTGTTTAGACGGGCGGCAAATTCTATGACCGCTTCAAGCAAAGCACAAGCCAGATGCTTCTCTGATTCAAAGACACGGTTTCTGATATCCGTTAATACTTATACAGAAAATAAAAAGGTAAGGACGTCCTTTCTATCGTGTCACTCCAGGACGTGGGCAATCATAGCTCGCCAAAACTTCCACTTACAAAAACTCGTTATGTAGGTAAATCAGTTAACCCTATGCTCTTATTGCCTTCAATATATCCCGTGAGTGTCAAATTCTACCAGCCCACTTTCCTCATTATGTGAGCCAGAAATTTCAACTATCTCTTCAATTTTAAGTCCTTTTTGTTTCCATTTTCCTTTAAAATTTCTTCATTGCTCACAGGTTACATCCACGGTATTCTCAGCATCCTTCTATTGCACTACATCTCTATTGCCTCAAGTCTCCTCTTCATCAGTGACGAAATTATCCAGTATTCACTTCCATATAGGGATATTGATATTATCCAGTATTCACTTCCATATATGGATACTGATATTATCCAGTATTCACTTCCATGTATGGATATTGATATTATCCAGTATTCACTTCCATATATGGATACAGATATTATCCATTATTCACTTCCATATATGGATATTGATATTATCCAGTATTCACTTCCATATATGGATACTGATATTATCCAGTATTCACTTCCATATATGGATATTGATATTATCCAGTATTCACTTCCATATATGGATCCTGATATTATCTAGTATTCACTTCCATATATGGATATTGATATTATCCAGTATTCACTTACATATATGGATACTGATATTATCCAGTATTCACTTCCATATATGGATACTGATATTATCCAATATTCACTTCCATATATGGATACTGATATTATCCAGTATTCACTTCCATATATGGATATTGATATTATCCAGTATTCACTTCCATATATGGATACTGATATTATCCAGTATTCACTCCCATATATGAATATTGATATTACATAGCACTGAACGGAATTTTTCGGTTTCTTTATTTTTTAATAGTTATACTTTTGCAAAGCATCTTTCGTAACTCCAACGGGTCTTCATATTTCTGGGTCACGTTATCCGTTATTCTGTTATAACATTTAAATTTTACGGAAAGCATACTTCAAAATACATTGTGTTTAGGCTAAATTTGAGAGAGTTTAATGTTTTTTTATATTTTCAAATTCTGTTAATAGTGAAGGGCATTGTGAAACCTAATCACTAGTTTTCGAGGTGTCAAAGTTTACTGAGATGGACGAGTGAAATCCACCCTGAATATCGGGAAACGGTAACCTGTATCATGGTTATTCGTGCCAGGCGTCAAAATGCCACAATTATGACAGCAGAAATGGAGGACTGCAACGTCATTGTAAATTTTTACCAACCGACACCTCTCTGACTGCTGTGTGTTTTTATCAAGTTACCATCACTAAAGCGACTGCCAATCACTATTTAATGGTCTTTTGAATAGGTGCAGAGGTTTATCCTCTGTTTAGGAGTGGATATCCGATTACACCTTTCCCGAGGGTATTCGTGCGATTGCTTTCTGGGTCGCTATTACGCATATCCTAAAAGTATTGCTACCCTAATCTTCCGAGTTATAACTGTCTCAACATTCCTGTTCCCGGCTCTCTTGTGAATAAAGGTAGTTGATTTCTCCCTACCTGACATCGGGATTGAGCTCACAACCACGACATAACCCCAACAATCGCCTATATTCCATATGCTCTTCATATCTACTCTAGGTTAACATTTATTTATTGCAACGAAAAGACAACTTGCTAAAATTCAATACAGCTTTATTAGAACAAATTTATACAGAGTATGCAAGCTAAATTTGATAGAATCTAATATTTTTATTTTTTTCAGATCGGTTTGGAATATCTGTAAACAGTGAACAGTATTGTGAAACCTAACACTTACAGTTTTCGAGGTGTCAAAGTTACTTGACATGGACGAATGAAAGCCACCCTAAATATCGGAAAAGAGTAACCTGTATCAGGATGATTCGTGCCAGGCATTAAAATGCCACAAACATGACAGTTGCTCAATGATCTCTGAACACCCTGAAAACAATAAGACGTGAAATTGAGAACTGCAACAGAGATTACGAGACCGCTGCTTGTAATAAATAACGCAAGAGACATTCTGATTGCCCCCGTAAACCAGAATTCGTCCAACAACTGCAGGAGAAAGTGATGGAAGACCCAGGGAAATTCGGGCTTTGGTGCTGGAAATGGGTGTTGCAATTACCACCATCAAGATGGCTTTGAATGAGGACCTCCGCTATCAGGCATACAAGAGGTGTAAAGGTCATCTTCTTACGGAAAAGGCTCGAGAAAACCGTCTGGCAAAAGGCAAAGAAACTCCTAAACAAGGAAAAACATCCTGTTGAACCAGTGACAATTTGGTTCTTCTTGGACGAAAATAATTTTTTTGTCGGGATCAGCTAGACAACACCCTGAACGACAGATGTCTTAAATCCATATGATGTTCTTCGAGTCATGAAGACCAATTTTCCTCAAACTCTGATGGTTTCGGGGTGTTTCTCCAGTGAGGGTAATGTCATGTCACCTCATATCTTTGAATAGGGTCCCAGGCCCTATTCGGATGGCTATATGGACACTACTGGACACCGTGGTCAAGCCTTGCTTGGGGAGGGTGACTGCTGGAAAACCGTATGTGTGACAGCTCCCTGCTACACTTCTAGAAAGAGTCAGAAGTGGTTGTCAGTTAATTTTTACGACTTCAGCAGTTACGTTTGTCTCCCCAACTCCCCTGGTTTTAATCCCATGGACTGTTATGTGTAGGGCGCGGTTAAGAAAAATATCAACCACACTGCTCGTAACACCAAGAGCCAGCTTATCGACAGGATTAAGGAGACGTTTGGGGCTCGCCTTAGTGACACCGTGAAGGCCGCATCTGCCAGATTCCAATCTGGCAGATGCGGCCTTCACGGTGTCACTACCAAAGCCTTTTTGAGTGAATTGTCTTTTGGTTATTATAATCTGTATGCCACTTTTCTATTCTTCTTATAAATTTAGACTTGGCTTAGATATTCACTTTGTTTTTCTTAACACTTTGACCGCTGTGTTCCTGAACAATTTTAACCCCTTCTGCTTGAGCTCCTGGGTCAAAATTCGCAAATAATTCGAATGTAATGTTTCATGGTAGATATAAAAGTAGTTACAAATGTTTACCCACCTTTCAACCGGTGGCTAGGCACTAAATTATTTTTCTCTACCACTGTTCAACCGGTAGCTGGGCATTACGTCATTTTTCTTTACCACCGGTAAAGCGCTGGTCAGGGCTCGAAGGGTTTAAAAAAAAAAACTGTCAAATCTAGCTCGAACACACTGTGTAAGCCCGTTTCAGAGTGGGGTAATGGTTACCGTGTTAGTATGGTTGACCATTAATACAGAGTGTTGTGTTCGATTTTCTATGATTGTCTTTTGTGATGTCAACGAACACTCGTTGCCACTTTTGTGATGTCAACGAATACTCGTTGTCACTTTCGAAATGCTCGTTGTAGTAGAGACTTTGTAATCGCAGATACAACTATAGTGACGCCGTTGAACAATACGGGTGTCAGAGGACTTTGAATAACAGTTGTACTAATAATACTCACTCGAATAGTAATCACCGTACAGACCCGAATAGAGAATAGTGTAGAGAAGAGAATAAATAATAAAGGTCCGAATAGTATAGAGGATAGAATAGAAATAGAGATCGTTAGTTGTCAGCTACTTCCTACATATATGCATTTCCTCTATGGTCACGTGATCTATTTAATTCAATAATGGGATCGCCTGAGATTTTCTCACTGGCAATCTATGTTCAAACTCAATTGTCGACAGCGACACTTTATTCCTACCTAACAACTAGTGGGCTTACGCAAAACTAAGCTGAACTTAGTAAATAACAATAACTGTAAAAAATATGAACCTATATAACTGTGTTCAAGATTTGGGCGTAGAGAAGTCATAATGAAATCCTATCCCTGCTATATATCTCGAGATTCTTGGCAAAATTCATAGAATTATCTCTGATGTAATCGAACTTGACCGGGAACCTCGACTTCGGTCACTTTCTCATCGACGTCGTGTGGTTTCCCTTTGTCTTTTCTCCAGATATTTTGATAGAAGTTGGTACCTCGCCTGCATAAATTTAAGCGCGCTACTAGATTGGCAGCTAGGTCTCACCATTTTACTATTGAAATACCTCGATTTTTGTGATGTCAACGAACACTTGTTGTCACTATAATGATAACAACGAATACTCATTGTCACTTGTCGTAATGTTCGTTGTACTAGAAACTTTGTCATTGCAGATACAACTTATAGTAAAGCCGTTGAACAATACTAGTGTCAGATGCCTTCGAATATCACTCGCACTAATAACACTTGCTCGATAATACTCGCTCGAATAGTAATCCGTATAGTAATCCAAATATAGAAATAGTATAGTGTATAGAATAGCGGTCCGTACTGTAATAGAGGATAGACTAGAAATGGAGATCCGAATAATAACAGCATAGAATAGAAATCATTTTGACGTCACGCGACTTCCTACGTATGCGTTTCCTCTATGATCACGTGGTCTTCTTAAACAAATAATGGGATCGCCTGTATTTGCTCACTGGCGTTCTATGTTCAAACTCAAGTGTCGGCAGTGATACTTCATTCCTATATAACATAGATGTAAATGTATGTTCTCTTCTAGTAGTTTTTTTTCTCGTACTTCTAGCCTGTGGAACTCCTTTTCTATTTCTTGCTTTCCTGTCTCCTACAATCTTCAAAAATTTAAATGCAACGCCAGTCGCCATCTTTTGTCTTTATGAAACTTATTCATTTATTGTTCTTTCTCCTGACTTAAGAAAGTATTCTTGTTTTCTTTCACCAAGTAAACCTTTGTATCCTAGTGGCATTATATAATGGCTCTACTTTTCTAAGATCTCTATTATCCGCGATCAAACGCCGAAAAAACAGTTCATAATATTAACTTTTAATGGTCTCTAAGAATGATAGTCGGAATGCTGATAATTCGTAATTTTCCAAAGAGATTTATAAATTATTTCCTTTAAGTGGGAAGCCAAACGTTTTCAACTTAATACGGAAAGAAAAAAAATCTTATGTTGTTATGGTCCAATATCCTAGCACCACAGTTATGGTTCAAGATTAGAACCAAGGAAGAACAACACAAACACAAGAGTAGAATAACAAAGATATATTACAAGAGAAATATAGTACAAGAAGTTGAAGGTGTTAGTAACGACTGTCCGCCTGGTTTAGAGAGAACTCATATTGTCTCGACTCGTTACACCATTCATTCGGTATCTACCCCCCCCACGAGGGTTGCATGTGGCACAAGGCCGAGTTTAACGTGGGTTTCCCGAGCCCGTAGACTCGGTCATAAATATACCCTTTTAACCCGCCTAGACGGGTTCAGGGCCTGTCTACCTCCCCGGATGAAACCCTGCCCTTCGGCAAAGCTTCGTCCGGGTTCCTCTCTGCCAAAGCAGAGAGTTCAACAGTCCTGAACTGGTGCTGGTTACACCGTTCATTGATTATACCTCTTGAGAGGCGCAGTATTTATAGTGTCAGGAAGAGTCCATTATCGTTATAGGTAAGTTCCCATTACAGTTACTAAGATCTACGTTAAGAAAAAACTCTTCTGTAGCTCGCATTACTTTTATTAGAGTATATTATTATAATTATTCTATTATTGTTTTTTGTAATTTCTTATTGTTCCTAATAAGATCTACATTCTGTTTGAAACATTTATTACAGCATATTATTGTAATTGGACTCCATTATTATTATTATACGAGCAGCATGGCCTGGCGTTGCCCGTGCTTGATTCAAAAAAGGGGACTTCTTGATGTTATCGGCCGATGGAGGCGACCCCAGCGTGCGGTAATTTTTGAAAGTGCATGAAAACCGTACAACAGGCTGAGCCAAGCCTTGTGAGTGAAATTAGTTAGAAGGAACAATATTGGGAGCCGTTGATTTTTGCGTTAGCACGAAGTCGTAAGTCTTAGTGACTGAGCGTTTGTCGTCTCTGTCTTTAAGAAATCTGGAGAACCTTCTGACCCCTCTAACGACCGCCCTTTCAGTCACCTACCGATTTTCGGCAAAGTCTTTGAGGCTTTAATCAATGCCGAAATGGTTAAACATCTTACCTTTCACGATCGACTCTCTGACAAACAATATGGATTACGTTTTACCCGGTTTAGCGCTGACGTGCTTACGTCCATAACTGAATATATATATATATATATATATATATATATATATATATATATACTAGCAGCATAGCCCGGCGTTGCCCGTGCTTGATTCAAAAATCGTACGACTCATACAGCAATCGCTATCACTTGACTTAAAATATTTTTGCCCTTCCTTGCCTTTAAAGGAGTGATGTTGCTACATGCTTTACTTCTTGCCTATCTCACACTGAGAATTTTTTCTAAGCTCTATACTAAACATTAAATCTGTTACGAAAAAAGAACTAAACAAAATCAACACAAAACGATCAGTTTTTTTTGCATGCTAGTTAACATTTG